GGACAGACCGGGTTCTATAGCCTTGGATGGCAACTGGTCTACCACAGAAAGAAATGGCAACCTACTGCGGAAAAATTCTGCCTCGATACATGATCGTCTAAGCGTGTATCACGCATGGCATATAACTGACTGAATTCTAATATTACCTTTCATATATGGAGACTGAATATAATTTATACTATACCATTTTATGGAAAATCATTTCAGATTATTAAGCAAAGCTGTCCGTCGTGCAACATTTCAGTTTTTTAAGAGAGGCGATGTCACTTTTCTCATAACCATCTGGGAAAGGTCATCGATTGAAAAGTACGAAGTGCAGCGTTAAGACATTTATTCGTAAATCTGTGAAAACGAAAAGACAGAATGACACGAACTGTCACGTGAAGACGCGATATTTGAAAATGATGAAACTAACATATCACAAAAACGAAATCCGTTTAGAATGGCTTATGAAAACTAAAATTACTCAGATAATGGGCAATTTAGATTAAAATATGCACCGAAAAAAACAAAAACAAACAAAAACAAAAAAAACAAGAAAATTCCGTTAGTCTTCAACCGATAAATAATTGTTTTTTATCGTTTATCAACCCATTGTGGGTTATTTAAAGCCGAAACATATTTTGAATTGTAAGAATATTCTTTTTTTGCGAGTAAATATTGCATTCACTTACTTTTGAGAATAACAATGATGTTTTAACATCCATCTCCTACTATTTGACCCATAGATAGGGGTGTAGAAGATTAATCCAATATTTCTGAAGAATGTTTGCGTGTAAGTGGATCTATCGAAACCGACTGCAATTTGAACTTGTCTCGCCCATGTCGGTCGTTAAACAAACTTGTATGAGCAACAATTTATTTAGTTTATCAATATATATATATATATATATATATATATATATATATATATATATATATATAGGTTGGTGGGAAAGTCCTGATTCATTTGGGAAGCAGAAAGAAACAGCATATCTTGATTATTGATCTCTGTCCGGTGGAATTTCCAAGGATTTTTGCATTTTGTTCCATATGATCGTACCACCAACGATAAATTCTATTGCCAGCAGCGAGACGGTGTGTACGACAAATTAAAGGAGGAGTATTCTGCTTTGGTCAGTCGAGGTCAGTAAGACAATGTGAGGGTACAAAGGGACTCTGGAAAAGTTCACACAGATGGACGGTTTTGAGATTCTTCCACATCCACCATTGAGTCCCGATTCTGTTCCGATTGACTACGGCTTATTCCGTTCGATGGCACACTTTCTCTGCGACCAGAGATTCAATACTTTTGATGATGTGATGAAAGCTTGTTTTTCTGATTCAAAGCCAGTGGACTTGTATGTAGGACAGATTAGGATATTGGCTGATCGCTGGCAGAAGTTCGGTGAGAATGATGGCCTTTATTTTGAAGAATAAATGTTGGTGTTGCTTCATAAAATGTTTTTGTTTTCTTTCCGCTTCCTAAGTGAGTCAGGACATTCTGGCCAACCTTATATTTAGACCTGTCTGCTTTATATTGGTCGTTATACTCACGACGATTTCTGTTTGGTCGAATTTCTAAGAAGTACTGAATTTCGAGCTTGTTCCACTCGGTATTGCCAGCAGCTAGACCGTGTGTATAACAAACTAAATGAAGAGTACCCTGCTTTGGTCATTCGAGGTCAGGCTTTGTTTCAGTAAGACAATGTAAGGGTACACAGTGCCAGGCTGATAGGGGAAAAGTTCAAACAGATGCTCAGTGTTTAGATTCTTCCCCATCTAACATTTAGTGCCGATGCTGCTCCGAGCGAATATGGCCTCCCACTCAATGGCATTCCTCTGCGACCAGCGATTCAATACATTTGATGAAATGAAGGTAGCTTGTTTTTTTTTTATTCAAAGCCAGCGGACTTGTATCTTGGACAGATTCGGATGCAAGCTGATCGCTGGCAGAAGATCGTTGGGAATGTTGGCTTTCATTTTGAAGAATAAATGTTGGTGTTGCTTCATAAAATGTTGTTGTTTTCTTTCCGCTTCCTAAGTGAGTCAGGACATTCTGGCCAACCTTATATTTTGTCTATTTGTATGTGTGTGTGTTTGTGTGTGTGTGTATATGCGTGTGTGTGTGCGTGTACGTGAGTGTAGTCCCTGTTTTGTGTTTTGCTGCCAATGAAATTCCAGAATGACAACTCGAACTTAATTTATGATTTCAAATAAAACATGATATTACATTTTTCTTCCTTTTCCAAGGAAGACATATCAGGATTCGTATGGTTTTGTTTTGTTTTTAGACGTTTTACATCTACCGGTGAACATTTGTTACTGGATCCCACCCACTGCCGAACACCGAACATACATTCTTATATTTACGTCACTGAATTGAAAGGCTCATTGTTAACTCATTTTGTAGTTGAACCAATAGTTCAACTGAACAAAGAAGAACCAATGAGTTGATCAGAGATTCACGAAGTCTTTGAACCGAAGCTGTCAGAACAAGGAACTCACATGAGCTCTCGATGTAAAGCACACTTTTCCAATTATTCAAACTGCTGTGTCAACTCCAAAATATAAAACATATAACCTATGCAACCAGGCAAAACCATTGACCATATTTTGAAGTGAGACTGACATTATTATACAAGTGTCCCTATGCACTTTTAATATGAATAGGACTTAACGATCAAATGAAATTGGGAAACCAAAAATGAGATATTGCACTGATATCCGACACTATTTGGAAGATGTATTAGTTTGGCCGCTGTGTCGCCATTAGCTGATGTGTAAAGACTTATATCGACAGAGTGATAAAATAGAGAGTAAAAAAAATAAAGATGGAGGCGTAATGACAAACAGAATGAAACTGTCGCATTGATTGATAGAAGACGATGAAGAGAAAAAGAATCAATTGATAGATATTTGATGATGAGGATCTCTTTCCGGTTGGTGGTTGATGTAAGAAAATAGAGAAGAAGAAAATTATTTGGCGCCAATGTCCCAAAGAGGGAGATAGACAAATTACTGATGGTGGCATCGAAGTCAGCTTTTTAGACTCAAGTAGAGATTGATGGCGACAGATACAATGTGTTCATCATAACTTACCAGGCGAAGTCTTTTAATGAAACTTCAAAGAGTTCCTAATAAGATTTAGAAAATGTATTTTTATTTTGAAATGTATAACGCAGAAGATAATTTTGCATTTTACACGCTCGGAAAGTTGACATATGGCGACTATCTATACACGTGCGTACTGGAAGATTTCTGTCCAGCAAGAAGCAGTTTCGCTAATAACATAATGTTTATTCTTTTAGTCAGATATTTAGAAGTGTGCCGGACCGCTAACTTATCAACACTGCTTTTAAACACACACACACACACACACACCTGTATATATTAAACTTCTTTAGAAGTTAAGATTTTTTTATTTATTAAGCCGATAAATTTTATCATTTTTAAATAACGTTTAAAGTAATAAAATCGGTCGTATTAATATATATATATATATATATATATATATATATATATATATATATATATATATATATATATGTTATAATATATATATATATAGTTCATGCCACATTGACGGAAAAACCTACCAGTACAAAAATTCTCTTATTACTATATTTGTACAAAAACGCAAAACCTTAAAATTTAAAATTTAAACTCAGCGTTGCGACCGCACGTTCCGAAATAATAACACATTACTCATAGCATTTTTTCGGATTACATCTCTATTTTCGTTGTCCTTTTATTACCGAGAAGTAAAAAACAAGAACAAATCTATTTCCATACCTGAGGATGTCTGTAGGAACAGACGAAAGCTTGTAAAAACTAAAAAGACCTTATGAAACTGGAATTTATAAACAGGGATCATATCATTCATATACAGGTTCGGGGTTAGTGTAACTTATTGAAATTGTTTGCGAAGATGTATTCTCGCCATTTAAATCATTAACCTCTATATTTCTTTTTTGTATGAATGATTCATGTAATTATATATATATATATATATATTCATGTATATATATATATATTCATTCAGATTCATGTATTCATATATATATATATATATATATATATATATATATATATATATATATATAGTTAAACCTAGAGAGCCAGACAAACCTACCAAGGTTTCACCTAAGCGGATCGTCAGGGAAGGCTGAACGATTATTTTAGTTTAACGTATATGTTCTTGGTTCTTTCTTTTTTATACTTTTTTTTCCCTTTGGTATTGGCTTATTTGCAAATCAATACAACGAAGGTTTTCCGAGCGATTATAGTTTCTTATACTTATAAGATTTCAATTAATAATATATATATATATATATATATATATATATATATATATATATATATATTAAAACTAACGCGCAGCAGAATATAGTAAACCCTAGGAATTTATGCAACTGTAGAAATAAAAATAGATGTCCATTAGATGGAGCTTGTAAAACCGAAACAATAATCTATAAAGCAAGAGTAACAGATATTAATAGCCAGAATAAAACGTACATAGGATCTACTGAAGGTACTTTCAAACGTAGATGGTACAATTATAGGTCGACATACAAGCTAGTAAATCTTAGAAGCTCTACCAAACTAGCTAACCATATGTGGAATTAAAAAAAAAAACAGCCGGGATCCGATTGTAAACTGGAAAACCTTTAAAAAGGCAAAGCCTTATAACAACCACAATAATATTTGTAAACTTTGCTAACAGGAAAAATTAGCAATAATGAAATTTCCGGATCCAAAGAACCTTTTGAATCAGATAACCAACGTCATGAGACCTTGCATACATACTAAAAATTCTTCTTAAACTAATATGAGGCTTGGTAAAAAAAGTATGTACATTTCAATTAACCCTCAACAGACACAGTTATAATACCGTTCTTCATGACGAAAGGACGAAAAAATGGAAGAATAGACAGAATGTAAGGATAAAAGGGAGAAAAGAATAGAAAGAATAGACGAATGGAAGAATGAAGGATCGGTAGAATGGAAAAATGAAAGAATTAACGAATAGAAGAATGAAACGAATAAAAAAAACATTGAAGAATGGGAAGAATAGACGAAAAGAAGAATGGAAAGAAAGGAAAGAATGAAATAATAGACGTAATGTAAGAATGAAAAATAGAAGAAAGGAAAGAATAGAAGAATCGGAAGAATGAAAAAAAAGAGAAGAATGGAAGAATACAAAGAATGGACGAATAGAAGAATGAAAGAATGGAAACAAATGGAAGAATAGACACAATGTATGAATGGACGAAAGAAAAGAATGGAAAAAAAATGAAGAATGAAGGAATCAGAAGAATGGAAGGATGAAAAGGAAGAAAGAATGAACGAATAGAAGAATACGGAAGGATAAAAGACTTGAATAATGCGAAGAATGGACGAATAGAAGATTGAAAGAATAGAAAGAATGAAAGAATAGATATGTAATAATGGCAGAATGGAAAGAATAGAAGAATGGAAAGAATGTGAAATGGAAGAAGGGATAAAATGGAAGAATCAAATGCAAATCGAAAGAAATGATATCCTTTTCGATTTCAAATCTCTCCATCTTTTTCTCCCACTGTGTCTCCGGGTGTGTATGGGGGGGGGGCACATTCAAAATGCTCTTTAAATAGTCCTAATTTCATTAAAATCTTCCAGCAGAATACCTATATTTAAATTTCATTTATCCGCATTTATAGCAACGAAACCATTATAAAAGCAATCATTCCGACTTGTCAATATTATGTCTATAGGCAGGCATTAAGAAGATTTTAGTTCTCTTAAAGACTTCTGTTACTATTGTGTATTTTCAGGTATGCAGACATTAGACGTAGAAAAATTAGAAGCCAATGCCTTTTTAGAAAGATATACACACGTATTCACATTTTCCGTCGTTGGAAAGGTTTAAATTTTGCCTCTGGTGCATTATTTGTAAACAGAAATACAAGGTGCAATTGCCACCATTTTATATTTTTAATTTCGCGCATGCGTGTTGTTTGTTTTGGATTTTGTCGACTGCACAGTAGAGTCAGTTGGGCACCCTCTTTGAGAAAAAGAGCACCATGACGCAATTCACTCCACCGGAAATTTGGAAATGGCATGCTGTACTGCTTGTTATTCGCACCAGAAGCCCCAATACGAACATCTAAGAAAGTACTGAGGACAGTACAGAGGATTCAGAAAGCAACATCATGGTGCTTATAGTGATAGGGACATTATGCCTTCATTCAGCTTTCTACATAGCCTCAGACTCAACACGGAAGCCTACATCCTTGAGGAGGCAGTGCTGTCCTGGGTTAAGAGGGTGGTTGCTGGAAAATCTTATCTCTGGCAACAGGACTCTGCACCATGCCACATAAGCAGGGGAACTCAGTCATGGCTGTCATAAATTTTCTGCAACCACATCACCATTTAAATCTGGCCATCTAATTCTGCAGACTGCAACCCCCTTGATTAATATATGTGGGGCGCAGTTGAGCGAGAGGCAAAAACAAACAAAAACAAAAAAACTTTTAACACAAAAGATGAAACCTAGACAAGGATTATGGTAGCATTCACCAATTTGAATAAGGAGACCGTCCAGAAGAGAGTTGCAGGTGATTTCAAAGTCGTCTAAAGTCCGTGATTGAAACCAAAGCGATTTTATTGAATTTAATTTAGTCATTAGTATTTCAAGATATTGTAATTTTAGTAAATATATCTGTTAAAATGAGATGTCAGTGTTATTTTCGGTTGTTGCTTTATTTATTGTCCAGCCATATAGTAGGCGAGATATGACAGCGAGGAGGGTTAGTCATTTGGTTGTTCGTGCATGTCGATTGCTTCTTATTTTTCTTTTTGGTCTGGACCATTTTTTTTTCACCCAATGTTCACCCGATACAAGGCTCAAGAACCACTCAACATAGAACGTTACTGTGTGGTATGAGCGTAAGAAAGGGCAAAGTCAATGGGGTTCTACAGGAAAGATAACGGCTAACTGTAGACTTGAAGAGGTCAAGATTGTAGTGATTGGGAAAACACAAGAGAATGAACACTCTTTAGAAGGAACTGGCAACCCAAATCTAAACAGGAAAAAAGAATAAAGCTATGAGGAGAGTCAACCTAGCGATAGGCGAACCTATCTAGTACTATTGAGATAAAAGAATAATTAGTGAATAAAATTTTTCAGTTCAGGCGGAGACGTTAGAAGTAGAGTGCCGAAGTAGACTTTAGAACAGGCATGGGTAACTTTTTCAGATTAGTGAGCCGCATGAGATATGACTTATCGTAAAACGGGTTGAACTAATAAAAAAATTAAAAGTAACTTAATTGTAAAGTAAAATAATTTATTCAGTTATCTGGAATATTGTGCTAGATATATTTCTATGGCCTATATATTTATAAATATAATACTGCAAAAACAAGTTATCAATATTTTTCATAATGATAGATATTATTTACTGAAATTTGCAAGATATATTGCTTTTATAAATATGTTACATTTGGAGAATTTTTATCAATATCAGTTGGTTAATATGTGTTTTAGTTTGAACACATCGATTTGCATAAAATTTGACATTGTATTGATTGACGTATAAATAAAATATGATAAATGAATTATCATTAACAAAAAATACACTAAATAATGAATCTGTCTATATTTCTGAGATGAGGTGTTATGTACAGCATTTACATTATTCGGACTATTGTCCTCATCTTTGTCGCCATATTCATTACATCGTTTCGGCCGTTGTATGCTCCGGCCTTCTTCAGGTGGTTGGAATGTCGAACTTAACCCTTTATTTCGCTTACTGGTGTAGACTGTTCTAGTTCCACGTGCCATGTTTAATGAATTTCAGTGATCAGTTATCTCCTGTTAATTCCCCTCTCCAAGTTCTCCATTGCCTTAACCGGATATTGAACTCACACTCTTTGGGTCTTGTCACTGGATCTAACCAACGCCTTTATCCACTGTGCCATGTGTCCTTGAGGACATTCCAACCACTTGAATAAGGCCGGAGCGTACAGCAGCCGAAACGTTGTAATAAATATGGCAACAAAGATGTTATGGTGGAACACAACTATTCTATAGTTAATAGACTCTCCCACCTATAATAAGTAGTAGTAGTAAGAGTAAAGGGGCAGGCAGTCGGTCAGTCAGTCGATGTCGGACGACAGTTAGTCGAATACGAAAGTATCAACGACCCCAACAAGATTTCTCTGCGTTATACCTATTATATCAAGTTCCTAACGTTTTGTACGTCGAACCTATTTTAGGACCGACTTAGTACAAATACAAGCCTCCACTGCGAAATAACTCCACAACAAAAGATGAGGACAATAGACCGAATAATGTAAATAAACTAAATAATGAAAAACATCATTATTTACAATCGGACTAATATCTTTGTTTCTATTATCAAAACATTTCGACCGTTGTGCCCACTGTGCTTATCTTTTTAACCATTTTGCCCCAATAAGGCAATACAGTCACTAAGACGCAAGGGGTTATTGAGTGTGAAAGAATATGAGAAAAAGAAAAAAAAGACATTATTAAGGAGAGAGAACCAAAAAAAAGAACTGGAATTAGGAAAACAGAAGATAACCATTGACATTGCATTTAAATTTTTGAAAATCAAACTTGACTGGGAAACAGAAAGCCGAAAGAGTGTTCTACAAGCGAGAAGTGCGAGAGAAGGAATTGTTAGCATAGAACTTACGGTTACATCTAGCCATTCCAATTGTAAAATGATGAGACCTTGGCGTCAATCTAGTACTTCGCTTAAATTCATGAAGTCAAGACACCATAGATGAAAGCACAGAACAGTTACCATGAAAATGTTTATAGAAAAGACACAGGGAAGCTACGTTACGGTGGTGGAAGAGTCTCTGAAGCTGAGATGCCAGATCAAGACAGATATTGCGGAGTTTTTGTTGGATTTTGTCAGGAATCTGGGAATACACAGCAGAAGTATCAGACCAGGCGTGATAGCGATATTCAATTCATGGATGAATGATAGATTTGTAAATGTGTAAGATATTCACTAGATATGAACAGCAGGACAAGAAGATTTAATAAAGGGTTAAGATCAAACTTCCCTGAAACAGATGTCTAATGAAGACCAAAACTGCCGATAAATTATAATAAAATCGTACAGCATACAGGTCCAAAGCCCAAAGAAAAAAAAAAGCGATACGAGGGATCAGCTAACTGACGATCCGCTTAGGTGAAACCTTGGTAGTTTTGTCTGGCTTTCTAGGTTTGACTATATATATATATATATATATATATATATAATCCGTAAGTGGCAAGGATAATCCAAGTAGGTCTTTTTAATATAAAATATTAAAAAGATATATTCTTAAAGAGAGCTCAGTGTATAGTATACAGAGCAATATGGGGTTGACAGCTGCCTATCTTCCCCCACTCACGTTTTCAATAATATAAATCCCCAGAAAATAGCTTTTCTAGGTCAAACGTCTAGACTTCCTGTTATGTGGCTTTAAAAATATTATCTGGATAAATTTAAACCATTTTGTAACATTAAACCATTTGTGATTTCGGTCTATGAGACAAGTATTAAAAACTTTCTTGTCGAAATATATTGCAATTTATAATCGAATTTTCGATGATGCGTTAAATTAATGATCTATCTATCTATCTATCTATCTATCTATCTACACACACACATATATAATGTATATCGTTTTTTACTTGTATCGAATATAAGTATAGAACAAACAGCAGAAGCATTAGTATTTGCATCGAACCTTGTATCTGTTTAAACGAAGCAACTTGTTAAGATTTTATTAACTTTAGATCGATAGAAGGTTTAAGTCAGCAATTTGCACATCTTGATGTCCTGTAAAATGCCTCTCATCTTCGAAGGAGGAAAGGTAATTCTATCAACTTAGCCTATTTTATCTTGTCCACTCGTCTCGATTCTCGACGTATCGAAGGAATGTTAACATTCAAAATGGAGATGCCCTCACCTGGCACGTGGTCAATAAGAAGTATAAAAAAAAGACAAAAATTTCTAAGAACCTGCGATAAAAAAAGAACAATTCTTCAACTGACATATTTCTCATTGGCAATCCATTTCAGTTGTTATTATTGGCAATTTAGTAACAAAAGCCTCTCACCTCCAAGCGTAAAGGCAGTCGGACGAACAAAGACAGTGTCTAGTTTGAAAGAAATGAGCAAAAAAAAAATTACTAGCCTCAAACGATCGGGTCCGATTGTACCTGAAAGTCGAAAATTGTAAATGAAAGTACACAATTATATCTCTTTGTGGGATATAGCCGGAATCTCTACTGTCTGTTCGACCATTAACCTCTCTCCATAATCAGCTCCCACCCCCATTACTCACATGGGCTTCAGATCAAAATTCAGCAAATAATCATGTATTCTCCCTCTCTTTCCCTCTCTCTCTCTCTCTCGCGCGCACACACTCTCACTCACACACAGCAACCTATATATATATTCGGTATATTTGGACAGCAATTGTTCTTTGGTCATTTTGGCATGTATTGTTAAAACCAACAGACATTTTGTGCCAATTATATATCTTCTCTAATAACTGTAGCACCACCCACACATTTTCTATATCTATCTAATAAATAGACAGAAATATACATTTATCTATTCTGACCGGCTAATCGTTTTAAGTACACCCAACTGCCAGTCCCTGTTAGAGATGTCAGCTCACACACATTTGAGTTTGTTTAACAACCAGATAGAAAACCTGTGGTTTATATTGTAACTAAGCTGAGAGGACCTTAGTTACAGTTTATGAGAGAAAGTGCATTAAGTTTGAACAAAAGCCCGACACTCTCAAATTTTCGGTATCTTTGGCTTGTGACTTTGTGTTAGCAAAACCATCGAGGGTTCCAAATAGTTCTGATTACCCAATTTCACTCTCAAGGCTTGGGTCAACACGTGGTATAGTTTCCGGGCACTTTTCATTGGTGCCTACGCAGGCCGATAAAAACAAAAAGTCACCTTCCCGATAAATGAACAATAGTGTGATTCGAAATCGCTTCTCATAGATGGAAAAGGAACTTTCTAACCACTTGCTACTCTCCCAAATCTCTCTCTCTCTCTCTACGTCTGTCTCACTCTCACTCTCTATATATCTATATAATAAATGCCAGTGTGTTACTCTGTCAAGCTTTTTCAGTTAAAGGTAAACAACTCTCAACAGCGCATCTTCTTCTATATAATAAATGCCAATGTTAGTATGTCACATTTTTTCAATTAAAGGGACACAACTCTCAATAGCTTATCTTCTTCCAAATATATTAAATGCCAATTTCAGTGTGTCACTGTGCCACACTTTTCAATTAAAGGGACACAACTCTTTAAATTTCAATATCTCATGTTACAGAAATTGTGGATTCCCAAGTTTTTATTACTGTGCTTGTTTTTGACGATTTTTTACGTGATATTTTTGTGACGATTTTTTTTTTTTGCAATAACAGTTTTTATAACTCGGAAATACATTTGGGAATAATCGAATTTAATTGCGAATTCCAGTGAAAATCACAAATGAAATAAATATAATTATATATTATAGTCTATACCGGGATTGAATAAGTCTGACGAATCTCGTCATTTGAAATAAGCCTAATTTCCATATGAGGTAATTTTTGAATTTATTGTGTACTAATTATCTGCTCTGTAATAATAAATATATTGAGATCTTTTTGTGTATCAGTTTTAATATTTTATATTTCTAGGACCCACTTAAATTATATACTAACAGATTTATTACCTCTACTAAACACACACACACACACACACACACACACACACACACACACACACACACACACACACACACACACACACACACAGACAGACATATATATTCTTTATTTTGGATATTACATCAACAACATGTCAAAAAAACGCTACACAAATGCAGTCGTGTTTCGATGCAAATCAACGGATCTCATCAGGCGTTAGTTACTAATATTGCTCTACTTTGTATTGAGCCCTCTTTTAAATTGAATGTTACAAACGTTAGAATTGAACTCTATTCGTTCTCATTTTACATGAGTATATATATATATATATATATATATATATATATATATATATATATATTATATATTTGGTTGGATAGATGTGAGTTTGTGACTCTGGGTTTCACGCTTTAGCGATCGTCAGACAAACTGATTAATGTTTTAAAAAATTTGGGTTTATGTAGATTGCGTGTATTGGTGTTATTGTGGAAGTGGTGGGGGAAACTTCGTCGTTTTGTCATTCATCGTACTAACGCAAACATCGATGTATGCAGACACCTATACATACTTGGTCGTCCGTCGGGACTCATACATATATAAACATATGTGGGCAGTTTATTGAGCGCTTTCTAATAAGTACCGCGCATATAATATATAAATAATTATACATATATATTTTATTTATATTTTATACACTTTTCACACACACACACACACACACACACACACACACACACACACACACACACATATATATATATATATATAAGTACCAAATATTGGTCGGAGTCTGATAGGATGATGAGATAAACGTTCCTTATTTGTGCTTTTATCTTATCATATATATATATATATATATATATATATATATAGTGATTTTCCAAACGAATCTTAGATGTGGCACATGGCCGAAAGTATGGGGTACCCAGTGAGGATCGAACACACTACTCAGTCGTAATTTTTCTAGCGAGAGAAGCTTGTTAATCATTACACCGCCTCAGAGTGGCCCAATGATAAGATAAAGAACAAATAAGGAAAGTTTATCTCATCATCCTATCCATATCTGGTACTTTGAAAATAATACTCTCTTTCTTCTTTCCTTACTTAGGGAATATTTCCTTCCTGCCTCGATAACCTTTCTGGTACGATCCTTTTCTTACACTACCACTTCTTGAGAATAATAATTATTTTTCCGGATACAAATACTATTATTTAACCCATAGCTGGGGGTAGGAGACGGATTCAAAGTCGAAAAACATTTTAGAGTGTATTAATAATTGTTTTCTTTGTAATGACTATTGGGATTAACAATTTAATCTTGAGAATAACAATTATTTTTACGGATACAAATACTACTATTTAACCCATAGCTTGAGGTAAAAGACGGATTCAAAATCGAAACATATTTTAGAGTATGAGAATAATTCTTTTCTTCGTAATGACTAATGGGATTAACAATTTATTCTTGATATTAACAATTATTTTTCCGGATACAAATCCTAATATTTAACCCATAGCTGGGGGGTAGGAGGCGGATTCTTTTCATCAAGAGTATGTGCTTGTAAATGAATGTAACGCACATTTTCTACTCGGCCATTCGATTTCTTATTCCATGCCTCTATTCATTACCCGTCTTCGAGAAACACTCCGACATCATCTTTTGTTTTTTTTATTTAAGAACTGAAGATTATAGAAATACCTGGAGGTGGGGAACTCTAACACCTTTGGACATAACAAGTTTTCAACTTTCATTCATTAGTCTCTGTTTACACCAGCTTCAGACTGCGAAATAACATGACTTATTTCCCGCCATTAATTACCACCATAAGCATGTCTATTTAGTGTCGGAAATTCTTTGTTGGTGACCGCAAAATTACCTTATCTTTCCTCCTCATCTTTAGTTGCCCTCTGCATCTTTTTCTAGATACCAACTTAAAGAGCTCTGCAAAATATCGTTTAATGTGTTTATTTTGTTTCAAGAATTTGCTATTGAAGGCATTGAAAAGGGGAGGCAAATTCGTTCCATTTCGAGGAATTGTAAATTGAATTTTGTCTAAAAGTCTGTGATCTATGATGATAACATCATATAGTTTTGGAATGTTGCTGGTTTCTTTTTTACTGGTTACGCTCGATGTATTCAGAACATGTAATACACAGACACACACGAACACCCCCCCATATATATATATATATATATATATATATATATACGTGACCGAGTGGTTAGAAGTTCGAATTCTGACCATGAGATCCCAGCGTGTGGCACCTTTGGAAAGTGCTTGAAAACCATACCACGGGTTGACGTAAACCTTTGGTGTGAAATTGGGTGCCGTCGATAGGTGTGCTAGCACGAAGTTACAAGTCATCGTGGCCGAGGGATTGAGTGTGCTGGTCTTGTTCAAATTGTTGATCACTCTAGATAACATGCTCTTTCCCAGAAACTGTAACTAAGATCTGCTCAGCATATAAACCATAGGTGGGCTGAATAAACACAAATGCACCTGAGCATTAGTGTTTGGAATCATCCCTACTAATTATCAATGCATACTATATATATATATATATATATATATATAAGTGTGTGTGTGTGTGTTTTATTAAATAATACAGTCAAGTGTTGTCTATTTATTTTATGTAAATTCCTTTCATATCGTTTGATAAGCTTAATAACATTATCATTAAACGAAGAAAGAAAATCACAATATTGATACATATTTTTAATCCTATCTAAGCTTTCGGCTTACATAAGCCAATATCAAAGATGACAATTACATTACAATATATATATATATATCCAAGTATAGGATTGGTGTATACGGAATAAATTCCAATAACCAACAATTACTATTCTTAAAAGAGTGCTCAATACAGAGTAGAGCGAATATTATTATTTATTCGAAAATTATAATATAAATATGTTATAAAATACCTACACAAATAGTCATTTTGTTTCAACATCTCTGGTGTCTTATCAAGTGATGATGTTGAATGTAGGCATCTACATTCAACATCATCACTTGATAAGGCACCAGCTTTTGATCTGTTTAGTAAATGGTTGTATTATTGTGTATTATTAAGTTACCGAGTCTGCTAGTTGGATAGGCTGGTCCCGCGACTATAAACCTGAACGTAAGTTCACTAGGGTTTGGGATGTTAATACGTTAAGATTTTTGTGTCTGCATAGCTGCTTTTATTTGACTCGATTTGTGAATTTCTGATTGTCCGTAGAAATTGCTTGCTTTTGGGATGAAGTTTTTTTTTTTTTAGGAAATCTTTTTCTTTTTTTGTTAATATCTTATTATGTGTTGTGCAGAGTTTGTAATTTTTCATTTAATGTTTTAGTCTATGTTGGTGTCGATTAATTTATAGTTATTTTTATCGCCTAGTGCCTCTAGAATTTTTGTTTTATAGTATATTGTGTTCATGATGACTATAGCGCTTTTCTTCCTTTATAATTATGTTGTTATTTCTCCGGATGCCCTCAAAGGCTAGTCTTT